ATGTTCATCATTAATACACTTGACCATATGAAATAACAAAAAAAAAACATTTATTGACATTTTCTTTGATTACGACTTCATATCGACATTAGACATATCTTTACTACTTTCTTTTTATACAATGTGTAGGAGTAGACAGCAAACGTTATCCACTATCGATTAATAATAACGTCAAAAAAGAACAGACGTGTAACGGAAGTAGAAGATATTCATTAAATGATCAAACATGCAACTACTTCTAATACTTCTGTATTTTCTATATACATTAGAAATAAGACACATTGATAAATGATCAAACGTTCTCACTTGTTGTTCAGATGTAAAAATTGATAAGAAAGAAAAAACTAATTATCTAAAAGATCAACTGATATTTTCTAGAAAATACGAAAATAAAAAGAAATAATGAAATTTGTATTATTGTGTTTAGATCGTGAAAATCAATCAATGTTAATTACAGGTGAATCAGGTGCAGGCAAAACAGAAAATACTAAAAAGGTCATTCAATATTTTGCATTGGTTGCTGCTGCCGGTGCTAAGAAAGAAGATGGAAAGGTAATGTATTCAGAGGCCAGTCCATTATTCACCATTGACATCTCATTTTCTTTTATTTGTGGGGATTTTTTAAAGAAAACAATGACCCTTGAAGATCAAATTGTTTCAGCTAGTAAGGCTGACATTGAAAAGAAATGAATTCATATTAATAAAAAACTATCTTTTCCTAATAATTAGATCCTGTACTTGAGGCATATGGTAATGCAAAAACAACTAGAAATAATAATTCTTCTCGATTCGTAAGTTGCGGATTATTAAAAATACCGCAGCACAGCATAACAAAAAACCCCGTTTTGATTTGATTTACACCCACTTTCCCTAATTTATCCTCAATCACATACCTTACCTATACCTGTTCACAACCTTACCTTAATGCATGCACACCTTGTTTTTTCCTCATCATAGAAAACTATGACTCTCGAAGATCAAATTGTTCAATCCAACCCTGTACTCGAAGCATTTGGTAATGCTAAAACGAGTCGAAATAATAATTCTTCTCGATTCGTAAGTTTATAAATCGAGAGTCATATTTATGTATGGTGGCATGTATTGAATTTTGGTTTGAATAAAAAATAATTGCATGTTTGAATACCCTTTGAAATCATGGTAATTTTTCTTTATATGAATAGATACTTGTCTGTTGTTATTTAATTTTCTTAGGGTAAATTTATTCGTATTCATTTTGGAAGTTCAGGAAAAATTGCTGGTGCTGATATTGAAGTTTATTTACTTGAAAAA